TTCTGTTGTCAGTTTATTTGTTCGGATATTTTTTAGTACTTTTGGAGGGTTTTCATTACCACCCTTCCTTGGAGGCTTAAATGTTGAAAGAAAAGTTCCCATTGAACAAATGGCAGACAGGACAGCCTGTCCAATGATCAAATAACACTCCACTTTTCCTGTCTTCTCTTCACCATCACAAGCTGTATTTTCCCGAGGTTCTCCTGGATCAGATCTACTTTTATGGACCAAGAACTTCCATTAAATTAGGGATAGGTAACTGACCGTCACTGACACAAATGAGTCTGTCCAGAGCCCTGTCTGTGGCCCCTAGGCTGCAGCTGAACTTTCAGGCATCTTGTTTGGGGGAGGAATGGTATGCTTGGGGATTATGGGGGGAGAATGGGAGGGGTCTGCAGGCATGTGTCTTAGGCCTTGCAATAATCCTCATTATTGTCTTAGGCACTGCAGTAATCCTCATCACTTTCCAGAAATAAATCACAGCAAAGAAAAACTTTCTAATCATTTCATGCTTGATGCTACAAGTTTAAAGTTCCAGCCATCCAGAGTGTGGATGATTTAGACAGCTCTTTCCCTACAGTTGGAGCGTACGACTAAGTCAAAGGTTTCTCTAGAAATATGGATTACAGTGAAAAACATTAAAGCAAGGGGGTCTCCAAACTTGGCGACTTTAAGACTTGTGGACTTCAACTCCCAGAATTCCCCAGCACTCCCAGAATCCCCAGCCAACGATTGTATACCAATCTATAATCAACCTCTCCTATTTTCAGCCATTTCAATGAGAATTTCATTCAAAGCCCCCATTTTCTCTGATGTGGACAACTAATCATTTCCTATTCGGTGCTATTATTGTTACTTTAAGTGTTTACATTTTACAAACCACGTAAACCGTGATTGAAATTAAGGTAGCCTACTAGTGTAATTAAATAAATAACAATGAACATACTGTTTTAAGCAGAGTGCTATGTGTCCAGAGAACTTGATGAACTTAGAGATGCATAGTCCTCATTTAGCAACATCAATTGGCAACTCAGTTATTAAGTGAAACATCATGATTTTACAATTTTACTTCAGCTTTCCTTTGCTTTACAGACTTATAATGGTCATAAATGGGAGCACTAGTCACAAAGTTACATTTTCATCAGTATCATAACTGCGAACGGTCACTAAAAATGTTCTCCCTCCCATATATTCTTCTCCTCCTCCCCATCTTTAGTTATAACTTGTATTTTATTGTAATTTTAATGTGATTTTATTTGTTTGTTTATAAAAATTATTAGCTACACATTTTACTACAAGACAACACTGAATGGCTCTTTTATTCATATATTTATGGTTTCATTTTCATGCTGTAAGCTGTCCAGAGTTGCCTTGTGGTGAGATGGGGAAAGAAAGAAAGAAAGAAAGAAAGGAGGGAGGGAGGGAGGGAGGAAGGAAGGAAGGAAAGAAAGAGGGAGGAGAGAGAGAGAGAGAGAGAGAGAGAGAGAGAGAGAGAGAGAGAGAGAGAGAGAAAGAAAGAAAGAAAGAAAGAAAGAAAGAAAGAAAGAAAGAAAGAAAGAAAGAAAGAAAGAAAGAAAGAAAGACATGAGTCACTGAACAAGGATTACCTGCAATGCCAAATCAATATTTAACTGGCACCCAGCAGCCACCTGGTTTGGCCTACGCAATCCTCTTTCTTTACATTTCTTACGGCATAACATACCCCAGGGCACTCTGCTTCAAATATCTGGGTGATTTCAGCACTGTGCTTTATTAAACAGATGCCGCTCTCATGTCTCCTCGCTAGTTCCCCTTCTTAAATTTCCAACCAAACCATCCATTTAAATGTTACTGAAAAGATGAAGCAGATGTGGTTCTAATAACCAAACTGTCAATCATTTAAAATGACTCTCCATAGAGTTCTAGGCATACCTTTTTTTTTTTTTTTTAAAGCCTTCATTAGCATTCTGTAGGGAGAGACATGGTGCTCTCAAGCCCAATGATTTGAATGTACATTAAGCTGGCCTCCTCTCCCACTCCGGAATAATTACCGGTTTCTGCACCGAGCACCAGGAATAGTGTTTGCTTTTCAGCTGGCTATCCAAATACGGCAAGCACAATGAACCACTTCTTCTGTCAATTCAAATGAGCAACTTACCTACTCCGGTCGCTTTCAAGGTGCTGTCTTCCTCCAAAATGAGTCTGTCGTCATCCTCTAAACTCACAACAAGTTCATTGGTCTAGAAATGTGGGGAAAGGAAGGGTGGAATGAGAGAGTCGACATCGTCCAACATCAAGAAAAAAATAAGAACTATCTAGAAGGAAAGAAAGGAAACCAGGCCGCCAAAGAAAACCATCAAAGCTGGACACCATCAAAGCTGACACCAACCAGAGTAGAAAAACTCAAAGACGCAGTGCAAAATCGGAAGATGTGGAGAGACCCGGCCCATAAAATCACCAAGAGTCGCACACGACTGAATGGGCAACATCATCATCATCATCAGAGGGAAGTAAGGAAGCAAGGATAAAAACGTACCTTAGAGCCATGTGCTTGATGTATAATCTTCATTGTGTCTGAAAGAGATAATTTACTTTGAGACAGATTTGACCTTAAACGCTCATGGACACTTCCCAGATTTTGTGCATGCTTCCTTTGCTCTGCAGTAGTATTACCTTTATTCATTGAACTAGAATTAGGCACATGTCACAGTTTGAAATACAAAACCACTTCCTCCCGAAGTGATACTACTTGGGATAAATTTAGACCCGTAAAACAAGAAAGAAATCTCAATGAATCAATGGACCCCAAGTAAACATACAGAAGAAGATTGCAGCCAGTTATTTATTTCATTATAATTAGTTTGAACACCGGCTTTAGTACTGATTTCAAAGATTTTTAGGTTTAAATTATAAAATTATAAGCTGCTTACATTTGTCTTTTTCACTGAAGCAGCATAAAAGCACTATAAACGAATTAAATTAATCCAATCAGTATAAATGCATCCTGGCATAGGTTTTAACAATTAATTTGTTGCCAGCCTTAAAAATGTTATTAACTGCAACCTCTCTCTTAAAATGTTCTTAGATTATATACATCAAGAACTTATACCTGGCTCAGTTGTGGTCATAAGGACTAGCCGTGCCAGGCTTCAGATAAAAATCAAAACCGATACTTTTTTCGAGCTAACAGCTTTTACCATATTTATCTTCGGGCAATAAGCAAATGTTTCATAAGCAAACTTCTGTTTCTCTGACCTTGCTTTCTACCCCAGTCCCCGTTCTGCTCCCCAACTATTCAGAGTAGATCTAACAGGAGAAGAAATACATTCCCTTGACATCAGCCCAGTGGTGGGATTCAAATATGTGAACAACCGGTTCTCTGTGTGGATGCCGCTTCCGGAAGTCCATTCTGGGCCTGTGCAACAAAAAATTAGCTACCGGTTCTGCAGAATCCCACCACTGCATGAGCCCATTTGGGGAGTCCTTAACTCAGCATTACTTTCTGTTACCTTTGAAAATGCAAGATAGGTTCAATGTTTGCAAAAGAGGAAAGTACACACCATTTTCACAACAAAGAAAAGGCTAATCAAATCCTTGAGGGCTTTCCTCTGGCTTCCATCCCTTCTGCATCATTTTAAAATAAAATTATTCAGTGGAATGAGAAAACAACAGGACTGAATTATATCAACTATATTAATCAATATCTTGTGATTTCAAGTCATTATGAGATTGTGGTAGAAACTAGCATCTATTAAAAGACCACTTTGATTTTTTTTAACACTAATACGCAATCTATTCATTTAATAAAAACAAATTGAGAAATAATAACAAATTAAAACAAATAAAGAGATCATTCAACTTGAAACATACTAATTCCTATTCAAACTTTATTCTCTGTACTATGCAAGGGCTTTACTATAGAACTCTGCCATCTACTGTCTCTTAATCTCAATAGGCTGGTTATACAATATTGTTAATTCTTATTATTTTTGACAAAACAAATTCTAAGTCAGTTTAGTATATAT